CTGTAACGGGATAGCAAAGATAACACCTTATCCCAACTCACAATCAGTACATATCTCCATTTATTTTTAATAAATTCCTTTATCAGTATCAATGATTTTAAAAAGTAAAATGCAAAAAGATAAATTATCTGGGAAGTTAATTGTAGATACAACTGAGATCGTTTGACTTCTATTTCAATCATTCATTCAGGCAACTCCATCAGTAAACATGCAAGCCCCAGCATAGGACCAACAAGACCCTCTAAAAAATCAAGTCTTGATATGGTTCATCCAAACCACTTTTTCCTCCCCAATTTTTTCCATAAATGAAGGGAACTGATGTTTCCAGCTTTACTTCGCAGCTCCATTTCTGCATGTTTATGGATTTTCATCCTCCTCCATAACAAAATATAGTGCAAATATCAGTCCCCTAAACAAGATACACTGAACACTTTCAGCTTCTCTACAGAATCTTATGCTTGTTCATGAGAACCTTAATCCTGAAATGGAATCAAGAACAATTTCAACAAAATACGCACTCTACTTCGTGAAACCTTTTTTCCCTACATATTCTAAGTCAACATAAACCACCTAACATCAATCAACTGCAATTTAAACCGACAGCATTGCCATGATATCACCACTAACTAAAAACTAATCATTTGTCCCCTTGAAGATAAACACAATGTTCCCTCTGAGGGAAAAATGTTACTCATGCACATTGGATAAAAGAAGAGAGTGAAAGAACAGAAAGATTAAGAGATATTAAATGAACAAAGCAACAAAACTTTACCTCGTACTTGGGGTTCCTCTAAGTTGATTGCTCCTCGTTGCGTGATGATTTTCCTCATCTGGAGTTTGAGTAACTGAGATAGCTGTATAAGGTGTAGACTCTGGAAAACTGATTTGAGAAGAACCATGCGACTGTATGGACTCTTCTGTACCCTGGTTGCGGTTACGGAAACGCCAATAAAGAAGGGGAAGAGTTGCAACACAACCAGAAGCATAACCCACAATCCATGTAAAGAGAGGGGCTTGTGGATTTTCATCTCTTGATAGTGACAGAACAACAATTGAGGCTACAATCTGACCCACAGTAACAAGTAATTCAACAGAAATCCAGAGTCCAGAATTCAAAGGGCTCCTACGACGACGACCATATCCATCACCTCTCCTTGTGAATGCAGCATTCCTAGAGCTTAGTCTATTTGAGGAAGATGGAGGTAGACGAGGGGAGGTTCTTCGGCTGCTTGATTCACTGTCTTCGAGTTGAGATAAGTCCACCCCAGGATGCTGCTCATCGCTAGATGAAGTTGATGAAGAATCATCATTTCTTGTTATGACAATAATGTGGTCACGATCATTATGGCTTTGGGCTTGCTCCATTAACAAGAAGTATTGGTCAGCTTGTGCACTATTTGGTCCAAGAAAAGAAACATCCATCTAAGTCCACAGACCAAATGGGGACCAGAGCATAGACTCTTCAAAAGTTTCACCAACTTATGCAGATTTCCTTGGTGTGCTAATCCAGTACTTGTCTGATATGTTCAATATGCTGTTCCAAGCACCTTGCCACTCTTGGCACCATAAAATTTACAATATTATTGGGAGATTATTCTTCTGTTCCACATGCAAGCTATAAGCTGCCGCAAATGTGAAACAGAATTTTTTTCCCATAACCATAGCCGATTGTGGTCCTGGCTATACGCATAACTGGATC